TCGATGCAAGCAGGCGAGGGCGGCCATCAAACGCGCGCGACAGCAAGAGTTGAACAGGGACTTGGAGCAGACACTATGCACCGACCGCGAGGACCTCGCCTGGCGCTTCAGTTTCCAGATGACAGGGAATGGCTTGGGCCCGCGAAAGCGGAATCACTACATCTTACCCGGCGCTCGACCCGACTTCCAAACGTTGACGGAGGATCTGGCTCTGCCCGGGCGCGAAGGAGGGGCGGCGGCCACCCCCATTCCCACGTCCAACTTCATGGGGGAGGCGGCGGCGCAGGACTACCCGGACTACCCCTTCCATCCAGATATGGAGCGCTGGGGACGTGCCATTCGCGATCTCGATGGGATCACAGCGCAACTTTGCAGTGGGAGACGTAGGCGGGCTGCTTCAAACTGGTCGGTGCCGGCGGAAGTCTGGGGCGCGCTACTCTCGCGCAGAGCGCGCTATCGACACCAGGGGGGCCGAGCACGAGTGACAGGCCCAATGCTACAGGAGTTCCTGCTTGCTCGGCTGGCGGTGTCAGACAACATGGGCGACTCAATGCGTGGTGGAGCCTGCCCCAGACGTGCCAGGTGAGCAAGCGGAACCACAGGGCTCGGACACGGAGGGCCAGAGTCTTACACGGACTGTGCAGTTTTGGGAAAACATGGGTTGGAGCTAGGCAGTCTCGAGAAGGATTGAAGATACCTGCTGAGGACCACGGTTGCGTGCGAGGACGTTCTCGAGTGGGTGCGCTGACAGTGGGCGACGTCCTACAGTGGAGACTACAGAAGGCAGGGCTGAGCCACATTACGACCAAGCACGACACGACGCATGCCTTCGCCAGCGTGTGTCACCAACACCTCGACAACCCGGTCAAGCAGCTCTACCGCCCAGAGGATGTCGACATTATGAGAACGAGGCACCGCAGGATTGCTTGTGTGGTTGACGCTTGTGACGGTACATGGGCGTTTCAGAACGGTGCGGGATGCTTCGTGGGCGACGCGGATGCAGCCGCTAAGTTCCGGATTGCGTTCGAGGCCCCGATAACTGAATGGCGCCAAAACTTTTTTCCCTCCTCAACCGTGCATGAACTTACGGCGGGTTGCGCGGTTACAAGGGGGAAACTGCGACCTGGGAGTGAGAAAGTACGCCGACGACCTCACCTGCGCACGCATCGCCCCAGATGCGCGCAGTGATGCGCGACGAGCTTCCACTTCCGGTCGGCATCTAGACGACGCACTGGTACAAGTCGGATTGGCCCAGAGCAAAGAGCAAAAAACAGTCAGCCCGTGTTTCGCGGGCAGGGGGCCCCAGATGTCTGCGAGAGCTTTGCGCTGCCACAAGGTCGCCATCTCGGGGGAGGTCCAGGCTACTTCGGTGTTCGTGGGAGCCCACGCTCAGACCTCGGGGCGTAACGATGAGGAGCTCCAGGCGCGTTGTGCCGCGATCCGTGCCGGCTGGAGGGGGGCGGGGAAGTTTTGGAAGGGCTGTCGGAATTTCTGTCAGAAGCGCCTGGTGTTTCGGGCTCGTATTCTGGGAGGTGCGCTCGCGGGTCTCGAGGCTCGGACGCTGTCTGAGGAGCAGGCCAAGCGGCTGGGCACGGCCGCGACTGGATATGCTGCTGCGCTATGCAATGGGACCGCCATATACACGAGACTGAATTCTGGGGGCGAGGAGGAGGATGGGTGGAAGATGACGACTGCGTGTGCGGAAGCCGTGTGGAAGTATATCATGATTGCCCCACCCAGTGTCGAGCTCCGTGCCCGACGGCAACGCCACTTTCAAGCTCTCGCCCACCGCCCCCAACGGCGCGTTCAGGAGCTGGCCGCTGTTTTCGGGAAGGTTGCCTTCGAGAGCGCCGAGATCGGGACTTTTTCGTGGGCGCCGCACTCTGCCCAGCAAGTTCCCCCAACGGACCGCGCGAACCCATGGGCCCTGCAGTTCAAGAACGACTTGCTTCTATTGGGTAAACTTAGAGGTGGCACTGATGTCCTGGACGACGTTGGGGGCGGCCACATGAGGGTCTTCCTGGATGAGGGGTTAACGGAGAGGTTTCTCGGGTTCAACGTCGCGAAGCTTCGAACAATCTGGCTTGCCAGTCCAACTGGCGCGCCGACGAATCCGCGCGAGGATCAGGAGTTTTCGAGGGCGGGTCTCCGTGCTCGCTGATGGACGGGGAGGGGATGGAGTGCAACCGTAGGTTCAGGACTATTGGTGCTCTGCGCGCCCATCGGACACAAACGGGAGGAGGCGAGCACGGACGTTTGACTTTTCTGCGCGCGCATGACGGCGTCGAACCAGCGCTCTTCGCGTCAGTCGTCGCTTGCATGGTGGAGGGCAACCACGCCGCGCCAGCGTATCGGAACGGACGATGCTTTTCAGAGTGTTCGGTATTCAATCACCCAGTCGTCCCTCCGCTGCTGTTAACCTGCCCAGAGACCGATTGCGGCGCCGACTTTGAGGGCCTTCCCGCGCTCCAGTCCCACATCAGGGAGCGACGCCTCCCAT